ATACTCATGCTGCATTCATCAATTTCTAAGGTTAATCCACTTGTCTATATTTTATATTCTTTTTAAAAGAAACATAATATTTTGCATGAACTATTTGTATTTAAAAGCAAATAAAAATAATAGAATACAATACAATAAAATAAGTATCTCTGTAATCAAAGTGTGTTTCATTTCACAGCTTTTAAGTATCTAACAGATGAGTATTACTCCATTTGTAAAAAATACTTGAATTGGCTATCTCTGTTATCCTTTGACTAGGGTTTTTATAACTGTCCAAAACTAGTTCTAACTTACTTTGAGTTGCCTTAGATTTCTAATATGCCATAAAGTTTCCTAAGATAGAGTGGAAATGGGACTCTTTGTAGAGGAGCATGTAATTTAATGAAGACTTGACATCCACCTGGGCTAAGAAAACTGACTGTTTGTTCCCTGGGGAAATGCTTTGAGAAGGTAACTGGTTTTTATGTAGACTACCCTCCTAAGTTAGTTTTTTTAGTTTAGTGTGCCCCAAGGCAAAACGTTTCAGGATATTTTAGAAGATTCTGCCAATCTAATTAATCTTATGGGAAAATGGTAAAATTCATTCTCTGTTTCTCTCCTCATAAACTATATGGTACCTCATCACTGCACTGTCAGTGGCAACTGTTAACTGCACCTCCAATGGGGACAAAAACAGGCTTAGTGCTGTTCCAAGGAGTAGAGAGGTTGGTCTCTTGTTCCACCGGAGGTGGGGCAGGTGAGATAGCCCTCTGTGGAAAAACTCTTCCAGAATTGGAGAATTTTTTGTGAAGAATGGGTGAATTTGGTCCAGAGCAGCAAACATCTTCACCCTGTCACAGCAGCTAAGGCCATGATTCAGTGATTGTCTTCAAATTCTCAAGGCAAGACCAAGGAATGGGGGTTTGCAGTCATTGGGTCTCCACATAGAGTGGTCTCAGCAGTCTTTCTGTTCCTGAGGAGGGAACTCAGTAACTCAAGTCCAGCTTAGAAGATGAACTTCTCAGTGATGCCCAGGGAGAGAAAGCCTTGGCATTAGTGTTGCTATGGTGCTTTTTGGGGTTGGAGTTACCTTGGGGTGCTCCTTTGTAGAGTGTCTGTTATTCTGCAGACATTCAAGAGGTTGGGAATTTGCCTCAGAGAGAGGAAATTCTGCTACAGCTGTAATGAAAGCCATTTGGAACTGCTCAAGTAAAGCACTGTATGCTTTCTATCTTGCAGATATATGTTACTTTTATAAACCTCTTGTTTTTATTTAATTCATCTGAAGTGCTTGTGATGATGAATAATTAGACCCAGGATTGGTATGACATCCTTTTGAATAAGCTGTTATTTTGTTTAGATTTTTTTTTTCCTAAAACCCATTCATATTCCAAGGAACTGAAAGGCAAAGCATTTTAATGGTGTTTTTACAGAATATTTTCCTGAATGGATGAGGAAACAGTCATTCCAGTTAGCACTATATAAAAAAAGTGAAGGCAATGGAGTAAGCTTAATTTTCCATTTTTGTCTGTCATAAATGTAAATAATTCAAACATATGAGCATGGAAAGAAGTTAACAGTTTGAAACTGGGACTGCATGAGTCTCCTAGCATAATATTAGTATTTCCTGTGTGTTTCAATTTGATATTCTTAAGAAAAAGGTTGGTTTTCCTGAAGTATGAACCATTTAATAGTTAATGCTGTTTTTCACTGGGCTCCTGTGGTAAACTAGAATGTTCATGTATTTCATGTGTTGCTTATGTAATTAAGCATCCACTAATTTCTTTCTCTTTGGAAAATACTTCTCCAAATCAGCACTCCATGTATGAAGATTTAAGATTATATCATCTGTTTATTTAAGGTAAGCATTAGGACAGGTATTATTATTTTATAATAGATTCTTAATCCCTTGTCTGTGAAGTGTTGATGTTTTCATTAGAGTTAAAATATGTTGCATGTGTACAGAAAGCCTGAAATCTCAATATGTGGCTCAATCAATTTTAATTATTTGAATCATTAGAACAGCTAATTTTTTGCTTAAGGGTACACCAATGTACCATTGAATCTGTTTTTTAAGGTTTTTTCCAGTTTAATGTCTGAATCCAAATTCATAAAGAGTTGGAAAAATGAGATGTCTGAGCTATAGGATTCACAGGGATTTTATATGAAGCCTATTTAATCAGGATAACACTGTTATTAATATTCATAAAGTCAGCTGGAACACAAATGACAGACTATGGAGCCTAAAATTTTTTACTTGTGAATTTATTAAAAGCAGCTTAAAAAATTAATGGAATTTAAGTAAAGTTGACGAAAATGAAAATCTTATGTTAGCACAAAAAATCTATATTAGAACTTTGTCTAAGACCATCTTGCATTGATATCTTTGACAGATTTCATTGGTACTTAAAGAAGAAAGATGCATGAATGGTCATTTAAAAGGATTTAAACACATTGGCACATTAATTTTTACATGAATAATAAGTAGTTTCCAAAAGCAATTAACTTACAGTGTACAAGATTTGAATAGAAAAATAGGACTGTGACATCAAAGGGCAAAGCAAATGTGCAGTACATTTTAAACTTTTAATAATATGACTCCTTAAAATATTTTTTTCTTTTCCATGGTAGGTAAAGTAACACCGAATGTATTTGCGTACAGCTTGGGTTTGTTTTGAAATATACGAAGATCTGGAAAAATAAATATTTTTATGCCAAAGTGCTGTTGGTAAAGAACAATTTTGAGGCTTTTACATTGATGAAATGCTTCTGAATCAGCTTTCCTACACTTTCTCTGTGTGGAAAACAGATACATACTGACCACAGTGTGTGATTTTTCACCTTTGCTGCTATATGCAGCATTTGGAAGCATTTCTTTTTCCTGTAGACAATTAGGTCTGAGAGTTATTTCATTATTCTACTTAACTATCAATTTTATGTGACTGTTGCATTTTATATTCAACCGATAGGGACATTTTCTTTTTTATTTTCACTTTCTTTCATGGTGTCCTAGTAGTTTTACACTAGCACAAGGTGGGTAAATGAATAGTGAATAAGGAAGTTAGATTTCAAATTACCTCTAGCATTTGGGTTATGGTCCCATTTTGTGTTTTCAGTTTTGTCTCAGTCTGCCAATGCACTTTATTTTAATCTCCAGCTTTTAATTTCCTCTCATTATTACACTGATTATTAGCAGATTGTCTTCAAATGGAGTAAGGATTTATAGTAATTGTATTCAATTTTTCTGACGATTCCTTGTGTGGAAACCTTAATGGCCACTTCTGATCATTTTTGAAATGCTGATTTTTTAACTCACTGAAAAATGATGGTGCAATAAGTTTTGGTTCTAAAAATACCTGATGTTCAAGGTACCTTCTGTAAAGGTACATCTTGAAGGACAAGTAAGTGTTGTGCACAAGTCAGAAACCTATTGCAGCATTTGTGTTCAGAGAAACCACTTTAAATACTTAGTGTCTGGAATATTTTCTTGTTCTGTATCCTAACTTTTTTTTTTAATTACGACGAAGTTAATTGGCACATCGTAGGAAGCCCTAAAAATCTTTCCATTTTACTTTGATCTATAGGTGACCTTAATCTGATATCAACCACTTTTATTTTCTCTATGTTTAAACCAGAAAATTCCTATAAGTTAACAGAACCTATTTCACCTATGAAGACTGTGACTGTAAAATGAGCCTCTTGACTTCAGTCATAAATTTTTCCTGTGCCATTGTCTATTATTTCCGGGAGAGGGCAGCATTTTCCTATATCAGGTACAGAAAGGCACATGCCCTGCTTAGACTGTCAATGTTTCTTGTAATTACTCCCAGTATATTTGTTGCTTGCTTATGAATTAACTTGCATTTATGGAACTAAATCATTCCAATCATTTAATTACACCTGAGGAGCTGAACTATAATTGCTTGCTTCCAGCTAGGATCTGATATGGCTTGAGCAGTATTAATTTGGTGTTTACTTTTCTGAGTGCTAAAAGCATTAAAATGATTGTGCAATGGGATTACATTTTACTAATTGCTGGCATTCATTAGCTGGGTAAATGGCGAGGAAGAATGACTGTATATTGTGGAGGGATAAAATTATGGTTTTAAATAGTATATTACTAGACACATTAAGGCCCTAAGACATGTTTTAAAATACTCCAGAGGTTATTAAATACCATATTTTCTTCATGTCTTGCTATATGAATATCTTATTAAAATACTGCAATTATTATGAACCTTTTTGTGCAATATGTAGGGAAATGGCTTCATTGACAGAAACCTATTTCTTGATATTAATAACCCTCTATATTTTCAGCTAATCCAAAAGTAAATGAGGAACTTAGGAAAAGATTGCCAACTTCAAATCAACACAGTTACACAGAATTGAAGAAGAAGCGTACAGCTTCATTTGAGGGATTCTTTTAAGGGACTCAGTGTTCTGCGATATGAGGTGAACTTTTTATTTTTTGATAAGGCCTAAGCACATCAAATCCTATGCATTTTTTTATCATGCAGATTTATAGTCAACAACAAATGTGAGCTAAATATGTATTTCTTGAATATTTGGTGTTCGTGTTGGTGTTGAATCTAAAATGTTTGTGCAATTAATTTTTTTTTGCAATTTTAAATATAAAAATGAAATAATCTGCTTTTCTGGTGTTCTATGGCAAAATAATTTCTCCTGCTGCTTTATTATTTAGGATATGTGTCTTGGCATAATTTGCTTGAATTGTAAAATAGGTACTTAATTTTTTTATTTAATCTCTTACACTTTTCAGCACAATGACAACAGTCTGAGTGTTTTGATAATCTAGTGACTGTATCTTCAAGGCACATGTATCTTTTTAATAAACGTTAAAAAATGCAGCAGGGAAAACATACAAAATTAGCACAATACATAGTTAAGGATAAAAATTTTCCTAATACAATATTTTTTTAAAAGGTGCATGAGTAAGTAATACAATTTGTGTTAAGCTTACTATGTTACCAAGATTATAAACTTATTTGGATTTCCTTGCGATACCGAGTATAACTAAATTTTTAACACATAAGAGAGCATATATTTTAACACTCAAAACGATGCATGGTAGACATAGCATTTTATTGTAAGTCTTATTGGAGGTTTCTTCTTGAAGATCTTTGATTATATGAAATATTGCAACTATGTAATTAACTATAGTCTGAAGCAATATGCATGCAAATATCGGGATGCATTATTTAGCTGTTCAGAAAGAACTTCAGAGTTGGAGTGACCACTTTACCTGTATTTTATCTAGGAAATTAAAAGTAGAGAAAGAATGCTGTGAAGTGAAGCACATGCTACTGTCTGTAATAACTGCCAAAGGGAGCAGTCTTGTTGTCTGCAGCAGGACTGCTTGGTGTGATTTGGGCTGTGCTCAGTAATGTGTACTTCCAAGACCAGACTCTAGAAGAAAAAACCAAACTAATAAATATTTCAACAAAGACATCACATGCAACAGAAAGCTGAACCAAACAATTATAAAAATTAGATGAGTGAAGAAAAAATATTTTACTGAGAAATATAATTTTTCCCTGGCTGTTAAAGTATGCAGAATTCATTGTGCTGCTATAAATATTTAAAATAAATTGTTTTGTAAATTTTCTGTCAAATGAAGGCAAAGTATAGGTGTATTATATTGTTTCAAGTTTATTTATCTAGAGTTTGTTTTATTTTAGCTCTGAAACCTTCAAGCAAAAACTCGACTCAGTGCCAGATCAAACAAGTTCAGAGGAACAAATGGAGAACTGGTCAAAAGGTAGGGACTTTAAAGATATTAATAAGGAACCTTAGGTGTTATACCAGTGCTAGGCAGTGACTGGAGTGTGTTTGTTCTTGCTGATATATGACTGACTTTGGAAGAAAAGAAAAAAAAAAAACAATAACCACATACTGCTCCTTAAAAGAACTTTAAGTAACTGGAGAGCAGCTATATGAATACAAAGCTTCACCTTTATTTTCTGGATTATTGAAAATGTTTTTGTACAACTTTCAGAAGACTTGTTTAAATTCTTAGTCTGTACATGGCACTTTACTTTCCAACTTTTTTTTTTTTTTTTTGTTAGCAATAAATCTGAAAATCTGTCTTAAAGAAATTTTCCTGGCTATTCACACCTGGCTTGGGTATGATTAAGCCATCTACTAATATTAATGAGTTTCTCATTAGTAGCTCAACTGAATTTAGACAGGAAGGTAAGGCTTGGAGATAATGGTGACCTTGGTTAACTTGGAGCTTCCCCAGTTGGTGGAGTTTTCATCTTCATCAGGATGCAAGTACCTTTTTTTATTTTTAGTTGATTGACCAGACATAATTGTTCTCAGATACATTCTTCTATGTTTCATGACAGAAACCTAAGGGGAAAAAAAAAAACCACTGAATTTGAGAGTACATTCATAACTGACTGACTGACTGACTTTGTAGAAGAGAATTTTTAGAAGTAGCTTGTGACTAAATTGTGACTGGTAGAAGGAGGGGAAAGACATAAAAAAGAGATCCTCACTTGAGAGTGGATTTTTGCTAGTAAGTGACTCTATGTAGGTTAAAAAATCCAAAATGGATTAGGTGTGTCAACATCAAAATTTCCCTCTATATCAGAGCCTCATAGCTTCTTGTACATTTCCTTTTTTTGAGTTTTATGCTATATATTCTCTCTCAAAAGATAATAAATGTCAAATTTCTCTTGGAGAGTCTATTTAGAAGAAAGAAGAAATGTTTCATTTTGTAGGTGATACTTTTCTTTCATATATAAAGGAATTTCTAACTATATTATTCTGTAAAATAAACTACTTATAAACCCCTTTTAATTTATGGCATTTTGAGCTGTTACTGAGTGAAGTTCAAAAGTTTTTTGAATCATATACTCTGTAAACAAAAACATTCATGGTGATGTAAGTTAGTGGAGAATTGTATTCTGACAATTTAAACGTGTAATGGCTTAATCAGGTTTAGTATTTTTAGACCTTTAGGGGTCAGCATACCCTAAGAATGGTTCAAAAGGTTAAGTTTTCCAAAGTAGGCAAATGAAACTGATTCTCTTTGAAATATATTCTGTCTAATTGCAAGAAATTATGTTCTGCTACTGCTCAGAGATATTTTTGAAACTGAGTAGCTACTGACTTTCATGTGTATTATTTTACTTATGCATTAAGTCAATATTTTGTGCTGTTTAGACAGCTGCTTCTTCCAAGCTAACACTTCATGTATCCAACAGAAGTTGTTATATAAATAAAAGTAAAATTTATACACTTTTATTTAGCAGAATCATTAATAAGTAATGTAATTCTTTGTGCTTTTGCTCCTGGCAAATTTAGAAAAAGGGATTATGGGTAAATTTGTCATCATAATGGTGTGGATGAGAAAGTTTTTTTCTTAGAATTTAATTTGGGTATTAACAGCTAAATTACATTCACTTATCATAAAGATAATAGGTCAATTTCAGCAACATAATATGTGAGCTTGGTAGATATTCTAGTGCATTTTCTCATTGTATTACTTAAGCACAGCAATTTTTCCTTTTCTGTGTAATTGTGTGTGCTGATAAGTGTACTATTTTGTCTCCTGCTTGCTCTGTCATCTTCACATATTTCCTTCGTGCAGTTGGTACTGTACTGTATTTAGATTTTCCTTTCTTGTAACTTGGAAGTTTAAAAGCTGGGTTTAGAATAACCCTATAATGTTTAATTATTTAAAGATTTTATTAGCATACTGAAATATTGGAGATTACATTATTTGTCAACAAATAAGGATGGTAAAGCAAATCCAGCATTAAATTTATCTGACTAGATGAAAATTCAGTCAAGCAATGAGAATTTTAAGAAATAGAAAAAACAGATACAAAGTGGTAGGTTTATGGTGGTTATGTGGGATAATGTGTAACCTGTTAATCAAGGTTATAAAATAAAATACTTGAAAGGAAGGTAGTGTTTAAGAGGAGTGTATCTGAAGTGTTTGAAAGGTGAGATTTTCTTTTTAACTTTACGAGTTTTTTAGAGTATAGTATTTCTGTGTGGATTGAAGACTTTGTTCTGTTCTATTAGGAAGAATTAAAGAACAGTTTGTGTGCAAGGTTTGTTATTTTGTGTTTGTATCTAGTTTAAATGTACTCTTTCTCTTGTTTTTAATAGAAGGTTAATGCCTTTTTTCATTTCCCTCTAATGATACTTGAGAGAATGTACCAGGAACATTGGCAGCAGACCAGTGCGGGCTGAACTGCTTAGAAATGAAAAATATTCAGGATCCAAGCTGGACAGCCTAGAATAGTATTCAATTATGAAAATAAACTTGTATTGGCAAATAGGTGCCTATCTTTGCATTGCAGTGATGGTGGGTGTGGAGAAGCACATTGCATTGGGGCAAGACTTGTTACTTCAGTAGGGTTTCCATGCATGATGGGAACTGTGCAAACATTAATTCTGTGAAAACACAAGAGGGAACCTGAAACTGGATGGTTTCTCTTCTTACATATATGTTTAGGACTTGATATGCCACTTTTTCAAAAGCATTACCAGGATTGGAAAGTGGTGAGTGTGCAAATGCTGGAGGTAAATTTGTGTCTTATTTGACTCATGTACCATGTTTAATTAGGTGCAGCTATACTTCTGTATTATACAGTCTTTAACTATTGTAATATTTTGGTTTATGTCATATTTGTAAGCATCCAGGCTTTAAGGATAGGGCAGAAATTAGGAGAAGGCTTAGAATTTTAAGTGTTGTTTGGTCTGTTTTGAGAACAAAATTAGAGTTTTGCTGATTCCAGAATTAAAATCATTGTATAATTTTTATTTGTGAATTCCTAAGACAAATTAACAGATTGATTTTTTAAATGATGAAGTTGTTTCCTTTCTTAAAAGGTGGTTATTATGTTTTTCCAGCATAGAAATAAATATGTATACATTGCTAAGCCATTACTTGAAGCATATATTGCATGTCAGCGAACCAATTTCACTTCTCAGAATTTGATGGCAACTTTAGTTATGATCCATATAGGCACTTTCCATGTATCTTTAAAAGAATGCTTGCAGCTTGTAAATATACTTCAAAATTTCATGTCTGGAAACTAGTTCAGAGGAGACTAGCTTTAAAGAGCTGTGGTAATGTAGATTGGAACAGAACTGCAGAATCAGCTTGTGCAGGGAAATTTTTGATGGAGGTTCTATCTGGTGGTGAGCTGTAGGTTTTTAGGCTGTTTCACATTCATGGTAATTGAGGAAATGTAATCACGTGCAAAGGTTAAGTAAAATAAATCATCTTTTTGTGTAACTTTGACTGTCTTATTACAAGTAGAAAACTCTTCTAGTTGTGTAATGGTTTTAATGTGCTTTTTTGTAGATTTGTTTTTGCAGTATTAATGACAAGGACTTTTTTGGTCTGGAATTCCTATTGTGTGAGTTTGACACACACAAAGATGAATGGGTAAAGAAAGCCTCCAGAGTAATATGGTGCTGTAAATGCTCTAGTTGGTAAAAAAGCAGCTAATGGTAAAGGTGCTGCTGCCCATTTCTCCAGAATGTACCCACTGCAGCTGTAAACGCTCTAAAGTAAATCTAAAGCCCCTCTTTCAAGGCTATAACAGAAGCAAAATTAAGCATACTTGTCATAGTGAAGTCTTTCTTCTTTTACATGCCTCAACAGGAGATACTGTGAGCCTGTTCTCCCTCTCTCCTACCAATTTTAGCAACAAAGGGATGTTTTCTTGGAAAAGAAAGAAGGCCTGAATATTGCAAGGGTGGTTTGTATGCAGAAAAATCTACACAATATGCAGAGAGACAGCGTCCTCTACACCCACGTGGCTCAGCTGATCAGTGTGCTTTGTGCTGTGCTTTCAGCATCAAACTCACTGTGTGCTGTCAGATCCCTTTGCAAGGTGCCAAGAGTAGTTGCAAGGTTCTCTGAATGATGTAGAAGGCTGAAAAGAGACTGAGGATGAACTTTTATGAGTAAAACCTAGTCACTGTTGAACAACATTAAGCATGGAAGATGAAGAAAACCTCTGCCATGGAAGAAGAAGGAAAAGTGTAACATAACTTAGAAGATAAGAATGACTTAATGATAACTGAAAAATCATCCAATACTGCTTGGTCTTTCCTGTAAATATAATCATGCCTTCATGCATATAAGTTCTCATCTATTCTTTTTCCATTCCATTTCTTTCCTTGTACATTTTGAGTGGCAGAATACAGCACATTTTTTGCCAGACTGCATGCAGAAAGACTCCTCATCAGAAGCACAACTAGATATCCAGTACTTGCCTGACTCACTGCAGTGTTGTGAATATGATTTTGTTGAACCCTTTATGGTACACTCAAAATGTGTAGGGCCTTATCTGCTCTGAGGGCTGCAAGCACTAAGGATGGGGAGAATGCACACCTTGAAGTATTGCACTTTGAATCTTAAGTGTGTAAAGTATGAGTGCAGCTAACTTCAGAATGTCTTGAAATGTACTTCAGAGAGAACAGCACTTACTACCACAGTAATTTTTAAATAGTGCTTCAGAAGGAACTTTAGAAGACCTTGCACAAGTGCAAGAGGTATTTGGTTATTTTCTTCTTTAGAAACCTTCATTGCTTCTATTTTTATAACAGGTAGAATGAGGCTTAAGTTCAGAGCAAAAATATTTTTAAATTATTATGAAAAGGTTCTTCAGAGAGTGCGTTGCTGACTCTTATTTGTGAATTCACCTGCATCTTTAGTAGAACACTACTGGAGTAAAGCATGCGGGGGCAAGGTGTCTTACAGCTATTTATGCAGAGTGATCTTTCTTTTATGTCAGACACTTAAAATTGCGATATTTTTCTTTACTTTTAAAGCTGTAGTTTCCTGGGATTTTGTTTAGAACTCTTAATTCAGCAAAGCTTTAATTGTTTGTGTGTGGTAGTGGAGGTTGAGTACATTTGGATAAGAGAATTTTCACTATAATTAATGGGCACGGGGAAACATGACCCTGCCTAGATAAAAGGGAGTTCTGGATCATTAAGATTTAGATAATGGAAGGGGGTTATATGTGAAAAGCAATTGTCTGATATGACAATAGCAAAAGACAAATGGGGTGGGAGGGTTTACTTTGTTTTTAGTTGGTTTAGAAAACATAAACACAGCATGCTTAGTAAAACTCCAGCAGACACTATGTTTGGAAATTATGTAATGACTCCATATAGGCTGTAATGATATCCTGAAACCCTGTATTTAAACTAACCTGAATTACAATGAGAGATAAACAGAATATTTACCCATCCCTTATGAGCTGCTGCTGATATGTAAATTTATTCTTCTACTTTGCACAAATATACTTTTGAGCTACTGCTTAAACACTTCAAGGTCCTTAGCCAAACAGTTTTAATGATGCCTCCAGTATTATGAAAGTGTGACATTTGATGAATGCCTTGTATAGTTGTGATATCAGGGAAAGTGTAAACAAAAAACGCACATCAAGTCATCGTGCAACACCTAGATAATTTATAATTTTACTGTTTATATCCATCTTGACATTTTTTATCTGCCAAAGGCAGGTTTCATTTGGAATCTTAATCTGAGATTTATTTGGTGGATCTGGAAATCATAGCTGGAGTTCCCACAGGAAATGGTCCATCTACCAACAGATTAAATGGCAGTCCTGCAGTTGTTAAGGGAGCTCTGCATTTAACACACATGCATACTCATTCAGTCAGCACTGTGGAGAAAAATTAAAGTAGTAACCCAGGTTTAGGAACAATGTAGCTAAAAAGTCCCATATTTGCTGAATGACAAAGGGTTATATAGCAGCATTTCATTTTATTATTCGTGCTTGAATTTCTTGTTTGCTTTGTTGAGTCTGCTGACGAATACTAATAAATGCCTGCAACAATCCAGACGAGAGATGCCTGGCAACAAAGCTATGCGGTGGACCTCCCTGATCTTCTCCAGTTCACAACCTGACCTTTTGAAAAATTGGCTGGGCTAAGCTGCAGAATTTGGGTGTAATGGTTATTGTTAACTCCAGCTTTAGGATTTATTAATTTGTGTGATCAAGACTTACCTATACTTCAAAGTTTCTGAAGACCAAACACAATCATCCATCCATTAGAACTAACATTGTGTTTCAGTGAATCCCACTTACTGACTGCCTAGTGATTCTGCTGTTTTGATGCATTCAGAATATAAAAATGCTTTTTCAACTGTGAGACCAGTCCAATGAAAATCTGGTGTCTTCTTAGAGACTAATATTTTAAAATAACAGTATGTTAATGAATTGCAAACGGAGAGTGGAATGCCAAAGGAAATGTCTGATATTTACACATTAATAAATGCATCACGATTAACTGCAGTGAATACCAATATAATGATTTGCCACATATATTAAAGACTGAGTAGCATTTTTCCATTTTAAATATTCAACAGTTTGTACACAATTGCTGTTTAGATGCAGAAGAGGACAAAAGACTTAGTGAGGGAGTCAGGCGAAGGAACATCGTTACTAAAATAATCAGAATCCTTGGAGAATTATAAAAAATTGCCTTTGCCAGAATAACTGCCAACTGTTCTTAAACCTCTTTCTCAATCTATTTCTTTATGAAGGGTGTTTCCAGGGTTCCACACAAGTACAGGTGAATACAGAAGCATTCAAAATAACACAGATGTCCCCCCAACTTATGTTGCTAAAACAGGATTCACTGTTCTCTTTAAGGAATTAAAAAATGCACGAACAATTAAACTTCTGAGTTGGTTTTTTTTTGGTCAACTTAAATGCTTAGCTGTAGCCAGAGATCAATTTTTGAATTGCATTGTTGTGTTCACCTGACTGACTGCTAAAGCAGTTTGAATTGTTTGGAAGTTCTTTGCATTAGAATGATACTTAATATAATTTTTAAAAGGCCATTTCCTTTATTCTGCCTAATATTGAAATTACAGGAAGATTTTTTATATTTTACATTGCACAACTGTCTTCCAGTATACAAATACTGTAACCTAACCTGTCATGTGAATTAAAATTATCATCATAAAGAAGTGTCAAAGGATACTATTTTAGTTATTTACAATTAATACTAATTTTTTTTTTATTCTGTAAATGTGAGTTAGCCATTCATAAGTAAAAGCGGTATTTTTTCTTTAAGTACATTAGATATTAGTTTCTAAAACATCTCTGACAGAAAAGAGTAGAATTTGACATCTCTGAGCAGGAGAAAAGAGCAGGGAGGGCTATCACTGAGGTAGTGCAGGCTCCAAGATGCAGTGTGGATCCAGCGCCTTCGACTTCTACAGTTTCTCGTTCTGTTCTGGTGTCATGGTTTAGGAATGGTATTCTCCAGTTCAGCATGCCACTAAAACCTCATGCAGCTCCCCCCCACTCCTCCAACTGGAGCCACAAAAGGTAAAGATCACAGGTTCAGAGAAAAGCAAATTAATGGGAGCAGCAATGAGATAAGAAAATGAACAATAACAGCAAAAATACTAGTGACAGAGGGTATAGGAAAAGAGACAATTCAGGAGAAAAAGACACACCACAGCACACTCAATAATAGACCACCCTTTTGCCCCAATAATGGTCAGTACCAGATGGCTCTCTCCAACACATTTTGTGGACCAGACGGCACTCCATCTTCCCAGAAAAGAGTCCTCATGAGGTGAGGTGGTATAGAATAATGTCTGTGTCCTGGCTATGTCCCTTCCTGGCTACTACAAAAATTAACCCTGTCTTTGCTGGGATCCGGACATCTTCCACCCGATAATCCAAAATTTTTGCCTTCAGGCCTGTTAGTGATGATTTCCAAAATCCCTTGGCAATTGGGGTTTCCTATTCAAGCCTACTTAGGCCTGCTGACACTCAAAGAACAGAGTCTTCTGAGACACCAGGAAAGGTTTTCAGCTGTGTAATTTCTTCTGTCTCCACAGCAGCTATCCCAAATCCCAGTGATGCTCTTTTGGGTCCTCAAAATACCCTCTCCTGAGGTAATAGGGATCAGGTGGTTATCTCTGGCCCTGCCTCTTTCTTCTGTTCTGTGGGCCCTGTTTCCTCTTTATTCCTCACTAAGAAAACTGATTTGGTCATAGATTTCTTCTTCTGTGTAGGGGCAACTGCTACTGGCATGGTTGTTCCCCTGGTTCAGCTGCAATGAGGCCATGGTGCCTGTAGGTCTGCTTTTCCACTCCTCCCCTGGAGGGTGTTCTCTAGTTCTGAGCTGTGTCCAGTAAAGAGTAGCCAGGGCCCAGCACTCTGCAATAAATTGCTCCTCTCTGGAGTTGCCACAGCATTTTCCTCACAGTGCAGCATTCTGTCACTTTAAACAGGGTTTTGTATTGGTTCAAGGTGAACTGCCAAACCATTGGAGCAGAGAATTTCCCCAAAAACTGGCCCATTCTCTCCCATATTCTATGCCACTTGTGAGCATCCACCCTCAGGGCAGATCTCTGAATGACCTCCCAAGAAATCTCTGGCCTGACTCTAAATATGGTGTAGACTGCACTGAGGAGAAGTGGCAGACTTAGCAACAAGTATATGCTTTCCTTAACATCCAGCAGGAATTAAAAGTTGTCAAAAGCTGTTTTAACAGGTCTGAAGGAGAAAAAGGGGGTTAAAAGCTAGGGAAAGTCATCCCCCCTGTTCTTCCCACAGAAGGGGTATAATTGTTAATGGGCCCCCAGAGGCAGTACCTGAGTAAGGATAGGAGAGAAACACTGAGTACACATCCCAAATTACTTTCATTGTCCTTGATGTTGTCTTGTCATAAGCTGATATCCCACAGTACAGCAACAAAGGGTTCCTGATCCCTCTCCCTGCTCTGAAAAAGATCATAGTGAGGAGCATATATGGGAATATGTACACGGTTATATATAATAATACCCATTTGAACAGCCCAGGCAACTTTGTGAGCATTGCCTCTGGATCTAATACAACAAATACTTAGATCAAATTTGTTTCTAACCTGCTCTGGGCAGATCTGTTGAATCTCAACCCTTCATGCCTCACACTGGACTCCAATTACAGCTGTCTTGGTTTAGGAACAGTATTCTCCAATTAATTCTTCCATTAAAACCGTGTGCCACTCCCTCTCCGCCCTCCAATTTGAGGCTGGAAAAGCAAAGATCATGGGTTGAGATAAGAGCAATTTACTGGGTACAGCAATGAGATAAGAAACTGACCAGTAACAGCAACAATACTAATGACAGAGGGAATAAGAATAGAAACGATTCACACAGAAACCACACCCCCAGTCCCCCAACCATCCCTTCCCCCTTAAATAGGCAATACCGGACAGCTCCCTCTGCCATGTTTTCATGCCCAGAAGGAACCTCTTCTCCCTGGAAGAGTTCCTTTCCCCTGCCCCTGGCAATGGTGTGAGTTGTTATAGAGTAAATTCTGTGTGCTGGCTGTGCACCCTCTTGTCTACTGCAAAAATAAAGCCTGTCCCGACTGGAACCAGGACACATAGCTTGCTCAATGACCTCAATGCAGTTACTTCATCACTCTGTGCCTTAGTCTCAATGGCTTTAAAATTACTATCACCGCACTTATGCATCTCCTAAAAAAACATCTCTAAGAATTTGGATTAAAATGTTCTTTCCAAGTCTTATTTCAATGAATATCTGTCTTGTGTATCTTAAAGTGAGAGGAGATACACTATCTCAGAGATAAATCCAGGACCTTTATGAGTTAGATGTAATTTGATAGTCCCCATCCTTATGAGCTGACCCATGATGCTTTCTGCAGAGCCCATGGTCAGGTATAGTTGGGGCACTGAATGGACAATGCATCTATGTTGTGATTTCCTCTTTGCTATTGCCAAGGATTTGGCAGGTACTTTGGCTTTTTACATAGTACTTTGGCTGGGCAGAGCACAGAGAAATAAAAGGAATTAGCTTTGTTTTACAAATCTACTCTGAGCTCAGTCTTTGCTTGTTATCAGTTTCCTATGACTGCCATTCTTCCATGCTACAGAAGTGATTTAGTGAGATCTTGGAGTCCTACTGAATAATCTTGAATACTAAATAACTTGAAACTTGCTGTTTTCTTTGAACATCAGGAAACTGCATTATGATGGGACAGCCATTTGCTCTTAGTTACTCTTGGTCTCAGCAGACTGCACTGTGCTGAAGAGGCCTAAATAATTGCTAACATAAGTAAATCTGTAGTAAGTCCAAAGACAGTAAAGCTTCACTTTTCATGTTACTTGTTTTAGAGAAAGCATGTATTATGGACCTTTTATTACTGACCTTTTGTAATTGTTTCCTGAAATAGGAATTACTTTCTTGAAAATTAGGTACAGCACCTTTTTTAGGATTAACTCTGAAATTTTTTGTAGGTCATGGAAAGATAAACCAGTAAGGAAATTAGTCAAAAGTAATGAGCACCTTTGACATATGCATGCATATTGCATCTGTATTAGCTCAAATATGAATGAAAAAGGAAAATACAGGCATTGTGAAAATGCATAAGATCTAAACCATCTCTTATCATTAATGTCAGACAATAGGATCAGATTTCTTCCACCAGACTCATTTTCTTTCTTTGCATATTTATGCCTACAAAAGCCTTGAATTTCAGTTCCTACTCATTTTCAGGATTTATGCTTTTTAATCATTCAGTAAAGGGCAAACTGTGGAACAGTCTAAGTCTTTCACGGTCATTCTGTTTGGTAGAAGTTCCAGTAGTTAAATAGCTTAGTGAATGAATGTTTGTCTTTTGACAAAATGGTTGACTCATCATTTTCAGCTCAAAAAGGAATATTCGGCCATAGTACTAATTTCATTTGCATGGCTTGAAAATTTAGTGGCCGTCAGGCTACATTTTTAGTCTTATTATTGTAGGAAAAAATATTAGATAATTTGAAAGCCAACGATAAAGAATAGCAGTTAGTCAAGTGGAAATGAAGGTGAAGTTCTAAAGTAATGCTTTTACATGCATAGTTATTGAAGCAAGTGTTGTAGAGGTGTGATTTGTACTGGGGCAAAATCAAGTTCTTTTAAACCATAAGAAATGTGTCCTATTATTCCATTGGAAACCGGTTAGTTTTGTATAGGGCCAGGGTGGCTCTTTGCATAGATAGTTTTGTTGGATAGTGAATATTCCCTCGTCTTTGAAATTCAAAATGTTTGATATTATACAAACAAAAAAAACCTCACAGACATTGAAGTTGTGTTTTTGTTTAGACTGAGAAGAAAAAATATGTGATTGCAGCCCAGACAGCCAACAGCATCCTGGACTGCATCAAAAGAAGTCTGGCCACCAAGTTGAGGAAAATTATTGCACCTTTCCACTCTGCCCCTGTGAGACCCCATGTGAAGTACTGCATCCAGTCTGGGAACCCCAGCACAAAAGTGTGGGCCTGTTGCAGCAAATCCAGACTTGGCCAGGAAGATGATCAGAAGGCTGGAGAGCAAGTCCTGTGAGGACAGACAGGCTGAGAAAGCTGGGGTTTTTCAGCCTTGAGAAGAGAAGTCTCTGGGAAGACGTCACTGGGACCTTCCAGTATTTGAAGGGGACTTATAAAAAAAGAGGGAGAGCAATTTCTTACACAGGTAAATGATAGGACAAGAGGAAACAGTGTCAAATTAAAAGAGGAGAGATTTAGGTAAGATATTTGGAGACATTCTTTACCCACAGAGTGATGAGGCACTGAAACAGGTTGTCTAGAGAATTTATGAATGCCCTGTCCTAGGAAGTTTTCAAGGCCAGGCTGCATGGGGCCCTGGGCAACATGATCTCATGGGTGGTCTCCCTGCTTAGGGCAGCGAAATTGCAACTAGATGATCTTTAGGGTCTCGTCCAACCCAAAACATTCTATGATTCTATGATTAACAGGAAGAATTCTGGAGGCTTTTATTAATTGAGGTTGACTGCCTCAAATACAGCACAATGTTTTGTTCTACATATTTTCAAATGTACTTAATCTGAAAGTGTCACAGTGTCATAGCTACTGAATTTGCAGTCATCTTTGCTCCCGCTACCAGGGTGTCTATGGCTCATTCTCTTCCTTTCTGCTTTTGCTTTTTCCTATTATGCCTCTTACTGCCATCCTGCTAGGGGTTGGTTCACTCATGCAGTCTTTTGCAGACAGATGAGAACATACTATGTACATGTCACAGACCAGCTTAAAACAGATACTAATAAGCTATAGGTAACAAGCTGTAAGTCCTATTACACTTGAAGCTGATTTGGTGCACCTGGAGCTTCTAGTGTCCCCATACTTATCTGCAACCAGATCCATAGTCTGTGTGCATGTTCCGTTGGGTTTTGGTTTTTTTCGCTTACTCTTATTCTGTGGAGATTCCCTGCAAACCTCTGAGGTGATCAGTGCATTTTAGTAGGGTGCTGAAAGACAGAGGGAAGGGGGTGTCCACTCAGTTTCTGCTGGATGATGGGACAGCTGAATGTGCTGAGTGGTGTAACAAGGGATGCTATTGCCTCTTCAGTCTTCCAGTTGAATCCGCACCTTCTGTGGATTTATCACTGTTGGTGTGGGATTCTCTAATGCTGTGCTTTCCCTGATCTCAGTGCTTATCCCCCGCTTCTCAGAAGAAGCTGTGAGAATAGTGGGTGTCTGCACAGTATGATGTGTTTAATGTTTTTACTTGACTTTTCAACCACTCCTAGCTTAACAACATTGAATTCTGTTCTGCCTTTACTGTTTCCAGCCATGACAGCATTATCTTCCCCTTACGTCCCTCACAATCAATTCCCAGATTTAATTCTAGTGTCTTCATATTCCTTCTTCTTAACATTTGCTTTTCTTTCCCGCAATGTGAACAAGCTATTCATTCAAGATAAATACATACAGAAGATCAGCTGTTCAGCTTCTCCCTATAGTGAAATATTAATCTGGGCTACTGAACTTGTACCATTTTATATGGAAAAAAAATTGTTTAGTATACTCAAGAACCAGAATCAGCAGTGGTGGTACCACTTAATGAAATCTACATAATTTTTTCCAAAGCTTGCAGGGCTGTTTTACCCTTTCTCTGATGTTCCCTGTGCAGCCTGATTATTGCAAATGCTACTTACTCCCCAGTGTGTTTCTGCAGCATTGGTAATTAGTGCATGATACGATTTGCAGGAGGCATGAGGAAAAAAGCACTGAAGTGCATGTATTAAAATTGCCACTTAGTTTAGCAACAAGACAAGCTACCACGTACCAAAGCCAAAATTATTTGATGTGAGGGTCATGGGCTATATGAAGAATAAAGTGGTTTTAAAAATAAATTGAATCCTATGTCCATTGATCTGACAGTGTTCAAAATGTTTTCCCCAAAGCATTCTACTAACAAATTTTGCATGCTGATTAAAAAAAACATTACAGCTTTATTAAATGAGTAAAAACCTCTCACCTTAATGCCCTTGGGCAGAGTGCTTTGAGTTTTGGATGGAAGAGGCTGCCATCATCTTCTCTCTTAAAAGCCAGTGGAGAAAAAACAGATCCTCTGTGTTTCACCTTATATTTCCATGAATGCCACTTACAGCCTTCCTGTGATGGTACTTAGTCTTCCCATGTGCTTGAGGGAATTGAATCTGGATGAAAAGGCATCCTGCAGATGTATGTTGTCTAAAGAAGCAGCATTAGCATTTATAAATACTAACACAGTTCTAGTACTATTCTAAATTCTCTTTTCTTTAGCTGCAGTAATTTACAGTTAAAAACACGTATCGTGACATGGCCTAAGGATTTAGCAGAAGTGCAACTGCTAATGCAGATATTTACCTCATCATGCAGTCATGTTCACTTCTGGTCTTAAAAATAAAAATCTGCTTTCTGAACTGACCTGTCGTCTAGAGACCTTTTCTTCTTGTTTACAGCTCATATTCAGAATGTTACAGAAAGCCTGCTGATGCTCATCTGACCCTCTTACTCCCTGCTGCTCTTCCCTGTAGGCATTAGTGATACTGTGGGGGTGGCCTGGGAAGTGTTGCATGTGACTGTATGGCTCCAGGCTTGATGATCACAGTGTGGGAACCCAGGTGGTGTTTGCCTTGATCCTTCTCCTGACAGGGAGGGGCATGGAGGAGGGCTGAGTAAGTAGATGAGGTCTTCTTCAGAGAATTGGAAGAACTCTCATGTTCAAAGGTCCAGGTTCCCATGGGATGCTACAGTGATGTTAGTGATCTGCTGAAAGGACAGCAGCAGGGCTCAGATGATCTGGAAGTTGCTGGGGACAACTTCCTGTTACAAATGATTGAGGTGCCAGCAAGGTGATTTCCAGTGGTCTCTGCCAACCTCAGTCACTCTTCTGTGGTCTCTTAAATCCTGGAATGAAAGGAGCAAATTAACAAAACAAGAACTGTGAAAAGAATAAAAACTTGCTGTCATGCTAAGGGAAGAGAAGCAGCCTAAAACATCATCTAAAGTTCTTAGCTCTCTGAAGTGAGATTTTTCTTCTCCAACTTTCATAGGGCCAAAGTACAGTACCATGGTGCTAAACAAAGAGCAAAGCTTCCTGGCAATACTGTCACTGGTTATTTCAACAGATATACATTGTGCTTGAATTCTTCCATAGAGTGTGACACACTTTGCTTGAGGCACTTCACACATACATATAGCTTATAGAATAAGTGGATGCCCTAGAGAGGAGGAGGGAATGTTGTCATGGTGAGTGAAACATTGCACCTCCCCTGGAGCATAATTTGCAACTGCATTTATACAGACACTGCTGCATCTGAAACAGGAGAAGTGAACAGGATATTTCATAGGAAGTTCTTTATAATATAAATCAAATGGGAAACACAACTCCCTGTAAAATGCTGTGCAAGTATGGAAACTCAGACTAGGTTAGTTTTCAGGTAATACTTACCAGAAAGGATTCAAAGTTTTGCCCTTACGTATTGTCACTCCCAAACTGAGTCAGGTTCTTGGAGTATATTTGGTGGGGTTTTTTTAACATACATTTCTTTATAGATCCTTGCTCCCTACTATAAGGAGGAGTAAGACATCAAATCTAGTTTTTAGATGTAGCAGCACTTCAGAGGAAATCTGCTCAAAAACCTGCAGGATTTCAGTCCAGTGGAAACAGCATACACTTGTTTTGAAGAATCCAGGTGGCTGTGACTTGTGTTCCTTCTGCACTAGGTGTGAAATGTTATGAGGAACATATTTCAGTCACAGTACTGAAAGTAGTATTGCACTTATCAAAAGACAAAGATGCTGATACTCTGTTGATTGTTGTTTAATCTAGTGTAAAGATCAGTGGTTGCAGTTTACAGAAATGGTTAGAGTGGATTCAAATAAGTTTTTACTGAAGTGGATGCAGAGGATACAGATGAGCAGTGGGTCCCATAACTTTTTCCTGGAGGTGGTAACACATAGCTCCATATTAGAAGTTGTTAAACTGACTCCAGCCAATTCCCAAGTCATGTCTTGGTGCCTTTGGGCTGTTGCCTGAGATCTTGTGTCTTTCCTCATTTAAGGAAAGAGGAATCTGTTGCAATACACTTGATAAACAGTTTTCAGTATTTTTTACTTGGAAACTGTGCTTACAACTGTGTTTACCTGCGGGATGGCCACATGATAAGTCATTGATTTGTAATTTTGGTCTATTTCTACTTGATTTCAACTATATAGAGAGTTTCTTATTATTTTTGAGGAGGATGTTATAAGGTGGATCAAATAATATATGCCCTATATTTTATCCAAAACGTTTGGAAACACTAACTTTATTAAATAAGCAAAAGCTCCAATGTTTGTTCTCTACTAATCTAAATGAAAGAATGAAAAATATATGCACCTTTTTTCCATTTCCAGTGGTTTTAGGCTGCTTCCTTCTCATTTTTTAATATAATTCTATAATTAAAAGGTACTTGTTCTTACTTTATGAAAGAGCATTCGTGGTATGTGGATCTTTCTTTCATTTAAATGCCTTGATATCAGAAATATGTCCTAAAAATATCTAGTAGCCAAGCTAAGAGAACTAGCTGTCACACTCAACATTTTAATCAGATAATTTTTCCCTTTGGCACAATTTCTGCTTTGCATTCTTCAAGTTCTTTAGTTGTACGAGCCTGTACCTCACACTCTCCAGGAGTGAATAATGGTGCTTTAAATTTGTTGTTACTAATTAAGGCTTGATGATACTCCTTTTGTAGCCAAAATGGGTTGGAAAGGAACTTCACTATAAGTAAGAGTCTAGTTATAACCTAAAAATTTCCCTCTCTATAGCAGAAATTCATCATATCTCACTATAGTAGAGCTGAATTTTGTAAGAGATAGGTAAATAATTTTCTACAGTCAGCATTATTTTAAGAAGTCATTTAAGGGGGAGGAGGGCTTAGGAAATGATGGTGAATTTTTCATGTTTCTATGAGAAAAATCCAGTAAATGGGTTGTAATTCCTACCTACATCCATCCATGTAGTAGGTAACAGTTCTCATTCCTTAGTGAAGGGACAAAGAGGTTGGTAATCTGAAAATAAATCACTTGTTCCTTTCTGGTACTATATTATATTCTTATAACAAGCAATTTTCAAATGAAAATCTCAATTTGTGCTTCATTATCCAAATGAGAAAATGTGTTTGCTTCTCTTCCCAACTAGAAACATGCATCTTGGATCAGAAAAAGGAAGACTTCTGTGCTGAACTTCCGTTTTATAAGAATTCTCAAAAACACACAGGATTTTTTATCCAGGCAGAAACCGAAGCACTGAAACTTTCAGATTTGCAAGTAAGCAGTCAAAGAGGAGGAGTCCTACCTGACTGTAATTCTGGTTCTGAAGAATCAAGGTAAACCCAGGAAATATCCCTCTATATAATTTTTCTAGATTCAGATTATTGACAATACACATGTTTTTTGAGTAAATATAGGGAAATTTGCTTCCCACATGACAATCAGTAAGTCAGCTTTTTACTTAGAATCACCCAATCTGCCCTTCTTCCCTTGTAGAATGTAGCATTTCACCTCTGTATTCTTTAGCACTCATAGAACACATGATCACTGCAATGGTTTATATCACACATTGTGGGTATTTCAATGATTGCGATCTCTACAGACAATTTTGAAGGTGCATATTGAACAGAATAAAAAACAGATCTTGAAAACCTAGTAGTATCTGTGGCTGTACACAACAAGCACCTGAAATGTGATGAGTAGGAAGCAGGAATAAAGCAGGGTGAAGTCCAGATGAGGCTGGAAGAGTGAAGATGAAAAGCTGTAGTATTTTGTAGCAGTCTGTTACAGGAATCTGAGGATGGTTAATATGATTGAAAAGTTTAATATAGACTCTGAATATTTTATTGTGTCATTAATTTTGGTCATTTCTTATCACTAGTGTTTTTACTGAGCAGTGGCCCTTTATAGCAGTCTTAAGAAATATGTACACTCATTTTATACGTGACACAATGTACAAAAGTATAAGTAGCTGGCTAGTTATACCTTTAACTAGCTTACTGGTTAGGGAACGTACTACCAGTTTTGAGTGACTTAGGCAGTCTGAATACTAATTTTCAACTGAGAGTGTCAGAGTTGTTGTTGAAAATGGGATCAAGGCTGCAAAGCCCTATTACATACTTTTGAAAAATACACTGATTCCTCACCTGTCTAGCAGATTCTACACCCAGTTTTGCTATCTTCATTATGATCTAATGGTGACTGTTTGGGCCAAACCCGATTCTTAACACTTTTTCCTTTTCCTTTTTGCCTTTTTGCATTAGCGGCTGAGATTTGCTGTAAGGGCAATGCATCCTGCACTAAATGCCAAGTATAATCCTGACTGCTTAGGTACAGCCCAGCACAGAGTCACCCAAAAATTGTTCATTTTACCTTTCACCAGTACCAGTCCCTCTGACAATCAGGCTTGTCTGGAGCACCAAGATTAACCTCCCACAGCAGTCATCATGGTGAACCATCTCAGCTCCATGTATGTTATATGTAGGATCCTAAAGCTATATGCCAAAACCTATCTTTGCCCAAATAGATTTTAATTAGAATATATTTTAATATTTCTTGATACAGAAAAATCTAGGAAACGTTAAGTTAGTGTTGATTTGTGTTTTAGATGGTGGTTCTGGTACTGTCAATGTCATTTATCATTTTTAGTTTAAAGGAGAAGGGAGGAGAAAATAAATACAGTGGAAGCAGGTGAAAAAAGGGTGGCTGAGAACAGACAACTATCTGCCTAAGATAATGACTCTTTAGAGCAATAGATAGCATTCTTTATATTTCTAGGATGTGAATTACAAATTAAGTAATGTCTACAGTGGAAGCAGGAGTTCAGAGGGTATAGCTTTTCTCTGGCTACTTCTTATTGGTTATTAGCGATGAAATGTATAACCAGAAAATGCTTAAAGCAAATATTAAAAGTATTTGCTAGTTCCTTTCTAATCATTCATCTACTAATTTTGCTGCCATGTTACAAACGAGGTCTGAATGATCTGTGAGTATTAATGGATACTCAAGAAGTTTTATGAGAGCCTTACTTTGAGAAAATTTTTCTGGCCGTTGAATCTTGTCTTATTTTTAGTTGTCTGTGGCTAGTAAGTTATTTTAAAATTCCAGGTGGCATACAGTATGGAATTCCTGTTGTCAGCTATAGTATTTAGAATCATACCATCATTTTACAGATTTCCTCAAGATGAATTCCTAGATTTTTTAATGGATATTCTCATATCACTTCTTGTGGAATCATTCTACAAAAAAATTTGGTTTGCTTAGACCTGAGCATCACTTTGATCCCCAAATGTTTTTTTACTTTTTTCTCTGTGTTAAGCAATGGTTTTTAGTATTTGCTTTCCTTAAGCATTTGCTGTTTATAGGCTTCATAACCCATTTATATTCATCTGGTTTTTGCCTTAGTACTGTAGGATATTTATTTACTATTCCAGATTTGCAGATTCTTTTCAGAATTACAGCTTTAAGAAGTGGCAGAAGGGCATCCG